GAGAGGGAGGCGATGACGATATAGTGCCGCACAGACAAGTTTTGATTAGTCACTCGTTGGCCTCCGGAGTTTTCCGGAACTGGAGGCAGAGGATCGCGTCAGAAGCACGCTTCATGAAGTGGAGAAGGCTCTTCAGGACCTCGCAAGGTTGACTGAGCTGATCAGAGCATGTGGTGTGACTCAGCTGTTCAAGTCGGTTGGGTTGCAGGAAAAGTTCGAGAAGGAAGTGGAAAGCAAGGCCCTGCGGATGTGAGGCCGTGGGGCGTCCGGCTTTTCTGGACCACGAATCAGAAGGTGCGCCTCACGCTTCCCGACGTGGAGCGGCGCCTGCGAGCGGAGCTCGAAGAGGAAGCTCGCTCGCGAGTGTCGGCAGACGGGGGCCGTCTCGCACCTGGGCTGCGAAGTACAGATCGTGCACTGCGTGTGCAGGCTGCATGTGGCAACCTGGCGCAGCTCAGCTGTCTGCCTGAGGAGAGGGAGGTGCAGGACTCCTTGCAGAAGGAGGCAGAAGAGAAGACCAGGTCGGACGAGACAGAGTTTAAGAATGCACAGAGGGCGCTTGCTTTGCTTGGTTTGGTGCGTCCTGGCCGTGTCAGGAGAATGCTCCCGGAGCTGGAAAGGGAGGCTCGGGCGAAGCTTGCGAAGCAGGCCAGCGGCCTGGATCTCACTCAGAGACTCACAGAGCTGCCGCTTTTTGAGGCGGAGGAGGCGGCCGCCTCTGCGTTGCCGGAGCTGGAGCGGCAGGCTCGAGAGAAGCTGGTGGTCGAGGCGGAGGACCGGACACGGGGTCGGGGCTTACGTTGCTTACGTTGCCTATTCCATCCGTCCTCGAGGACAAAGTGAGGGCAACGGCAGCTGCAAGCATCGAGAAGGAGATTCGAGACCGACTCAGGAAGGAGGCCGAGGAGCGCATCAAAGCTGAGCTTCCTGTGCCCTGGATGCCTGCAGTTGCGAGATTCCGAGCTGTGATGAGCTGTGCAAGCTTGTGCAGGCATAGGCGTCTCTGACAGCCAAGGAGATTGAGCGACAAGCCCGCGAACACTTCATGGCTCAGGCCTACTAGTAGTACCATGTCGTACCGATCCAGAAATTGAGAAGATCTGGTTGCCAGTAAGTCACCCATGCACTTAACTGCTGTCGTGTCAGGGCCCGCCGCCGCCTGCGCCGATGACCCCTGTTGCCCCGGTCGAGCCTCCTGTCGCCGTGCCTTGCCTCCACTTGGTGCCACACTTCCAAGTTTTCCGAGTCCGCTGCAGACTGACTTGCATCGCCCGAGGTCCCATCATTGCAGGCCGACGCTGCCCAGGCAACCAGCGGTTTGCAACTCTTCAA